TTCAATCCGATTCTGCTGCCTTCTCCCTGAACCCTTGGTCTCCCTTACTAATCAAGAACGTATCTCTCTGTCTTCAATACATTCCATGACTTGGCCTCCACAGCCTTCTGCAGCAATGAGTTCCACAGATTCACTGCTCCCTGGCTGAAGAAATTAGTCTTCGTCTATATTGTAAAGAGTTGTCCCTTCATTGAGGCTGTGCCCTTGGGTTTTAGTCTCTCCTACTAGGCTTCTCGGTATTCTGTAGGTTTCAGTGACGTCACCCTTGTGCTTCTAAACTCCTCTCCGCATCTATCCTGTCAATTCCCCTAAGAATCTTGTGTTTCAATAAAGTCATGTCTCGATCTTCTAAGCTCCCAAGCCAAATCTATTTCCTGATGCTTCCTACTTATTAGCTTCTCTAATTATTTTCAACTAATCATTCAGAAACCTATTGTCTAGTTACCGTATTACTATTGACTCAATTAAATCCTATCTTGTCTCTGAACATTCTTGTCATACACTGCCTTCTGCATACTTAGATATTGATCATCATTTTAAAAAAATACAAAGTTTCTCCCCCTTGTCTCTGTTAGTAACTCTTTATAAATTTATCAATGAGTCTTTTTTACAAGAAATTTGCAAATTAAAGGCTATTACTGCAAACTGCTGTGGAACTGAACCATATCATTGAGGCTGAGTTAGACTGTTTACAAGCCTGGCATACTACGTGACTCTGAGATGAGCTCCTATTATCTTTTCATCCTCATCATCAAAACCACTTCCTTTCTTCTCTCTAACTTCATCTTCTCTGCTCAGTTCATCTGCTGAAACCAAAGTCGATCCATTCAACCTACTCCAGCCCTACAATGCTCAGATCTCTACACTCCTCTTCCTGATCACTTGTGCACCTTCACTCAACCATTGGAGGCCTTTGTACAGCTATCAAAGGGCCTAAGCTCTCAAATTCAAGCTCTTGTGCTTTTAAGCTCCTTCTTGAAATCTTTGACAATTTTTAGTAACTTCTTCTAATATCTCCTTTTGTGGCTCAGTGTCAAATTTTATTTGGTAATGCTGCTTTGAAATGCCATGGGACTTCTTACAATGTTAAAGATACAGTGTTGTTATTCTGTCTCATCTGAGCAATGGGATGTAGGCATTGCTGCCTAGACCAGCATTTTTAGCCATTCTTAATTGCTTGGTGAGCATTTAAGAGTCGACTACATTACTGCGGGTCTGAAGTCACATGTAAGCCAGACCAGGTAAGGGTGGCAGGTTTCATTCCTTCAAGGACATTAGCAAACTAGATGGGTTTCTATGACAATCAACAGCATGTTTGCAATCTATATCGTTTGGAGCTGGAGGAACACAGCAGGTCAAGGCAGCGTCAGAGGAGCAGGAAAGTTGATGTTTCAGGTTTACACCCTTCAGGACTGGGGAGTCCACGTGGTAATGACTCTGACTTCTTCTGCAGTTCTTGCTATCTCTGACAGCATGGTTGCCATTGGCTACCTTTTTTATTAATTTAAATTTCACCATCTGTTGGGATTTGAAGCCAAATACACAGAACATTAACTTGGGCTTCTAGATTACAGGTTCAGTGACATTACCGCTGTACCCTCTCTTCCAGTAGATTTTAGTTTACCATCCAAGACTGTTTGCAAGTGTAAAAACACTGAAGAAAGAAAACAGAAGCTTGGTTTTGACAATATGATGATTGGGCCATCAAATGCATAAACATAATAAGCATTGCACAGAGAAGCTAAAAGTAGAATGTTACTTCAAGAAGGTAGAGCCAGAGGGGTTTTTTAATTCTCTTGTGGGACATTGGCATTGCTGGCTGGCCAGCATTTATTGTCCATCCTTTGTTGCCCTTGAGAAGGTGGTGGTGAGCTATCTTCTGAACCACTGTGATCCGTACGCTGCAAGTAGGCACGCAATGCCATTAGGGAAGGAATTCCAGGACTCTTATCTCTGACAGTGAAAGAATTGTCGATTTTTAAATTAATCGAAAGCATATTTGCATTGGCAGATGGTGGAATTTAAATTCAATATATATCTGGAATTAAGAATCTAATGATGACCGTGAATCCATTGTTGATTGTCGGTAAAACCCATTTGGAGTCCATTGTAAAGGATGAGATTTCTGAATATTTGGAAGTGTATGGTAAAGTAGGGCAAAGTCAGCATGGCTTCATCAAGGGAAGGTCATGCCTGACAAATCTGCTAGAATTCTTTGAGGAAGTAACGAGCAGGGTAGACCAAGGAGAGCCAATGAATGTTATCTACCTGGACTTCAAGATGGCCTTTGACAAGGTGCCGCACAGGAGGCTGCTGAATAAGATAAGGGTCCATGGTGTTAAAGACAAGGTGCTAGCATGGATAGAAGATTGACTGTCTAGCAGAAAGCAGAGAGTGGGGATAAAAGGGTGTTTCTCAGCCAGTGACAAGTGGTGTTCCGCAAGGGTCAGTGTTGGGAGCACAACTTTTCACTTTATACATTACTGATCTAGATGAAGGAACTGAGGGCATTCTGGCTAAGTTTGCAGATGATACATAGATAGGTGGAGGGAAGGTGGTATTGAGGAGGTGGGGAGGCTGCAGAAGGATTTGGACAGGTTAGGAGAGTGGGCAAAGAAGTGTCAGATGGAGTATAACGTGGGAAAGTGTGAGGTCATGCACTTTGGTAAGAAGAATAAAAGCATGGACTATTTTCTAAATGGGGAAAAAATTCAGAAGTCTGAAGTGCAAAGAGACTTGCGTGTTCTAGTCCAGGATTCTCTCAAGGTAAACTTGCAGGTGAGTCAGTAGTCAGGAAGGCAAATGCAATGTTGGCATTTATTTTGAAAGGACTTGAATATAAAGCAGGGACGTACTAAGGCTTTATAAGGCTCTGGTCAGCCACATTTAGAGTATTGTGTTCAGTTTTGGGCCCCATATCTCAGGAACTATGTACTGGCCCTGGAGCGGGTTTAGAGGAAGTTCACGAGAATGGTGGGACTCTGAGACTATGCTCAATGGAGTTTAGAAGGATGACGGGGGATCGAATTGAAACTTACAGAATACTGAATGGCCTGGACAGAGTGGATGTTGGGAAGCTGCTTCCATTGATAGGAGAGACTAGGACCCAAGGGCACAGCCTTAGAGTAAAGGGAAGACCTTTTAGAACGGAGATAAGGAGAAACTTCTTCAGCCAGAGAGTGGTGAATCTACGGAATTCGCTGCCACAGCAAGCTATGGAGACCAGGTCATTGAGTACATTTAAGACCGAGAGGTTCTTGATTGTCAAGGGGATTAAGGGTTACGGGGAGAAAGTAGGAGAATGGAGTTGAGGAACTTATCAGCCATGATTGAATGGTGGAACAGACTCAATGAGCCAAATGGCCTCATTTCTGCTCCTATGCCTTGTGGTCTTATGGTCATCTGGGTCACTAATGTCCTTTAGGGAAGGAAACTGCCATCCTTACCTGGTCTGGCCTACATGTGACTCCAGATCCACAGCAATGTGGTTGACTCTGAACTGCCCTCTGGGCAATTATGGATGGACAACAAATGCTGCCTCACCATGAATGAATAAAGAAAAAAAAAATTTGGGCAAGGTAACTGAAAGTTGAAAATTTAAGATTTTTATATCATGAAAGAGAATAGAGGAAAGGTATTCAAAATGCGACAAGTATCAATAATGTACCAGAGAAAGGAGTTGCAGCTGGCTAGGTTGCCTATTTTCACCCCAGTGTCCTCGTCACTGTAGTCAGGATAAGTGCAGTATTGATATTCTGTCACGTGGAATGCAGGTATAAACATGCTATCACATTCAGGTACCAAAAGACTTCTGGTTGCAGCACATTTTATTGCATCAAAATTTCTGACAATTTCATGAACCAAATACTGAGCTGTTGAAAATAGGACTCGGGAGCCTGAATCATAGCATAATAAAGTGCAAAAGGAGGCCATTCAGTCCATTGTGGCTGTACTGGCTTTGTGAAAGAGCTAACCAGTCAGTTGCACACTGCATGCCTTCTCCAAAAGTCTGATTGTATTTCCTTTATCAGGTGTTTATCTCATTCTCTTTATTTTTAAAGTTGCTAAAGAGTCTCGTTTCACCACTCTTTCAGGCGATGCATTCTATATAGACATCATTTACTGAGTTGAAAAAACAAATTCCTGTTATATACCAATTAGGAGTGTAAATAGACCACTCGCCCCTGAAGCCCGTTCAACCATTCAATAGGATCGTGGCTAAAATGATTGCTCCATATGCTGGTCAACCTGTTGCTTATTAAGAGTCTTATCTACCTCTTCCTTACACAAGACTGTTTTGGACTGAAATGAGAAGAAATTTCTTCACCTAAAGAAGGGTGAGCCTGGGGAAGTCTTGGTGACAAAAAACAGTTGAGGCCGAAACATTGAATGTTTTCAAGAAGGAGTTAGAAATAGTTCTGAGGAGTAAAGTGATCAAAGGAAATGGGGAGAAAACAGCAACAGAGAACTGGGTTGGATGATCAGCCATGACCATGTAGAATGGTGGAGCAGGCTCGAAGGGCAGAATGGCCCACTCTTGCTCCAATTTTCTGTTTCTTTCGAGTAGTGTGCTTCCTCGGTCTTTTGGAGATTGTTTCAACGGTTGTCAATCCTCCATGAGAAAGATGTTCTCCTTATCTCTGTTTCAAATGGACAAACCCTTGTTTTCAAACAGTGACTGTGTGTCAGTTCAGCTTCTCCCACAAGAACAAATATTCTTCCCATCTCTCTTTTGCAAATTATTTTGGGTGCTCTGGTTAACTTCACTCACTGCCACTTGAAGCAATTTCTCCATATTTACTGTTAAATCTCCCCTCATCCTTCTCTGTTCAATGAAAATCAATGCCAGCACGTCTAGTCTGTCCATATAACTGTAAGATCCTCGTCCTTGGTATCTTTCAAGTAAATGTCTGTTTGAAGACCCCATTACCTGTGATCTAAATCTAGTTGTTCCTGTCACTGGTCACTTTGTGTTAACTGTTTCCCTTCTGCCTCTGCAGCATTGCCATCAGCACCTTCCAGGACTTCCAGGTGGCTACATCTCGGCAGCGTCCTGATGCTGTGCTCCGTGAACAGTTCAAGGAGAAGCCTCGCCTGCCCCCTGCTGATGCTGACGCAGCAGCTCTTCCAGTGGGGGCCAACCAACTGGTCAAGGTGGCAGTGTGGGGACTGACGGCAACCCTGGGAGCAGCTGCTTTGGCTGTGGTCAACACGGCAGTGGAGTGGGCTCCGGAGTTTGTTTTTCAACTGTTTCCATAACGAGTGACTGAGGCAGCGGGAATGTGTGGCCTGCAATCTGCTGCATTGAGAAACACCTCTTAGTTGAAACACAGTGATTGGAACAAGGAGCCAGTAGTGCGCTGTGCCAAAAACTTGTACTGGGAGCAATAAGTGTGGTCTTTACATTAACTATTTCCAACATCCTTCAAAATAGGAGGACACTGGAGAACCAGCCATAAACCCTGCCAACTCCCTGTCTGGGAAGCACCCCTCTAGTTCACAGAATCCCTACAGTGGGGAAACAGGCCATTCAGCCCACCAACTCTCCAAAGAGCATCCCAACCAGATTCACCTAGCTACTCTGTCCCTGTAACCCTGTTATTCCCATGGCTAACCCACCTAACCTGCATATCCCTGGACACAATGAGCAATTTAGCATGGCCAATCTGCCTAACCTGCACATCTTTGGACATAGGAGGAAACCGTAGCACCCGGAGGAAACCCATGCAGACACGGGGAGAATGTGCAAAGTCCACGCAGACAGTTGCCCGAGGCTGGAATTGAACCTGGGTCCCTGGCACTGAGGTAGCAGTGCTAACCACTGAACCACCGTGTCGCCCCAATCTTGCCAATTGTACAGCCACGGACAACTTAAATTAGCAAACAGTAAGCACTAAATGATTGCACATCCATTTTCTTGCATTGATGCAGACACTCGGGTGGGAACTAAGACATGGTGAATTTGCACTTGGTTAGATGGAAACCTGGTGTCACTCAAGTGAGCCCTAGGCAGTAGACAAAAAAAAACTGCAGATGCTCGAATCAAAGGTAGTCAGACAGGAGGCTGGAAGAACACAGCAAGCCTGGCAGTCCTGAAGAAGGGATAATACCTGAAACGTTGACTGCTGTTTTCCTCCAGATGCTGCCTGGCTCGGTGTGTTCTTCCAGCCTCCTGTTTGAGCCCTATGCTGTTATTGTAGATTGAGGAGGGAACCTTCAAATGAAGTGTGTCTCCAGAGTGACTTACAATTGAACAGGGCATCAAAATAATCCCACACTCAAATTAAAAAAAAAAGTGTCCTGATAGATGAAGGGGAAAGGAGTAGTTTATTTCAAGTTTGTTACTGTTCTGAGATGAGACTGAGTAGTGTCTTCTCACTATTTGGATGAGAAGCTAAACTGAGACTTCTTTTGCCCTGTCAGATGGACATAAAAGATCTGTGGAACATTTAAGAAAAGTGGGTGAGTTCCCCCTGGTGCCCTGGATAATATTTATTCTTCAACCAGTGTCACTCGACTAGATTATCTGGTCACTGCTTATTGTCGGATGTTGTTGTGTGCAAATTGGTTCCTGCGGTTGCCCATGTTAGAACAGTGACACTGGCAAATATCAAATATCCTTCATTGTTAATAAAGCACTTTAAGATGTTCCGAGCCAGGAATTTCTAAAGTGAATTCTCTGGAGGATATGACCATTGCTGGTGATGGTGGGTGGTGATCGCTAAGGCACAACCAAAGAAATGTTGGTGAGTTGCTGCACCTATAGAAGGTAATTACTGTCACCCTGTTCATCTGATGTTAAAGTGAGTGGATGCTTATGGTAAAAGTGGAGTGTTGATCAAGCAGACTGCTTTGACCTAGGTGCTGCAGAGTTTCTAAAGTTTTGCCGTATGTGCCGCATAATGGGAAGGCCATGGGATGACCACCACCTGCAAGTTCCCCTCCAAGTTATTCACCATCCTGACTTAGAAATATATCACTGCTGTTTCAGTATCACTGGGTCAAAGGCCGTAAGATATAGAAGGAGACCATTTGGCCTGTTGCGTCTGCGCTGCCATTCAGTGCGATTTGATAATGCCTCAACTGCACTTCCCTGCCTTTATGTTGAAGGTGGCAAATGGGGTGCCAATCGAGTGGTGGCCTGAATGGTGGTTACTGTCATTGGAGCTGCATATGTTTGTGCAAGTGAAGAAAATTCCAGAACACTGGTGACTTGTGCCTTTATAGATGGTAACAGACTTTAAAGAGTAGGGAGGTTAGTTGCTCACTGCAGAATTCCCAGCCTCTAACCTGATCGGTATTGAAAATTTCAATTGTCACAACAAGACCAGACCTTTGGATGGTGGAAGATCAGAGTTTTTTTCACTGTTTTGTTTTTGAGAAAGTGCTTTCTGATTTTTCCCTTCAAAATGTCTGTTTCAGTTTGAAGATGATATAGGTACTGTTACATCATTAAAATTGCTCTAGTCCCAGGTATGCAGGTTTGAAATGTTTTATTTAGTGCTTTGAACAGAAGGGAAATGTTCAATGTTGGTAGTCCCAGGGGAGCTAGATATAACACCTACTCTGACGTATTCCTACACTCGTCATTGATACTAAAGCACTGATTCTTGCTCAGTTTGGTCAGGTGCCATAGGTGAGTTAGGATTTCATCTGCTGTGAATAGTGAAATGAGTGACTGACTGGCCTCCTCTGCTGTTCAGGACATAGATTATGGAGAACATCTTGATAATCATATTGAAGTGACCTGCTAGCAATGGAAGACATGCTGTATGAACAGTGTAATTGGTGTCTGTGGCTTTGTTAATTGGAGGAACTTCCCTGGGTCAGTAGGAGAGTTGCTCTATCAGGAGTCTAGAGGAGATGGGATTAGATTGAATATGGTAAGAAAAACATCATCCAACATGATCCTTTGTGAATCACTGAATTCTGTTGAAGTTTAATTGTCTGTCACTAATGTCTAATAGAAGTTCTTATTCCTAGGATGATGCTGACAGCTGATGCTCAGTATGTTGCTGCCCCTGCTGATGGACGCAGTGAAGCTCCCTGACAGCATACAGCTAATTTACAGCTATCTGTGAAGACTCAGGTTTCAGCTAACAATTTCAGTCTGTCTCTCCTACTATTTAGGAAACAGTGTTGAGGGGCACGTTACAAGTGATTTGATAAGAGGGAGGGCAGGTGACTTTGGGTCTGTCGTTCCTCAATGTCCCCACATGGCTGGGGAGTGAGGGCAGGGGTCTTCACCTTGGACCTGGATTTATGAGCTAAGTGATGAAGACTGATTGCTATGATTAGTCAACAACTCCATGATCGTAATATTATGGGATTACCAGGACCATTGAGGTGCAATAAATGAATCATGGTCTTGCAGTTCCTTTGTTTTTGCTACCTTGTATATCCTTCAATGCACCTCATTGGTTCTTTGAACTCATTACATTATCCTTATTGAAGACTTTCCATATTTTTATTTTAGTAGACTCTCTGTTGAACTCCTTATGTTCCCAGGCTTTCTAATATTTAACTGAAGTGCCTCTTCTCGGCCCAGTGACCAAATTAACTTGATTAATTTTTGAAAACCCTCACTATTTTCAGAACATCAGTTAGATCCCGAGTCGTCTCTTATGTTCAGCAGGTTCCTGTGTCTTTCCCAATTTCCATCAGTTTCTGTATTGTTAAAGGGTGGGTTAACAGCAGAAGAAAGTTTCCTCATTTCAAATATTGCTCTTATTTCCATTTCATAAAAGTACTGCACACCTCACTACATTGCCCCAGTGAGTTTTATTTCTCAGATCAGCAATTTCACCGTCCTCTTGATGCTGCTGAGGTCCTGAAATATGGGCGGAACAGTCGAGTGCCATATCGTTGGAAAGGTGAATACACAATAGACATTTATTGCAGTAGAGAAAACGGTTGGCTATCGTTCAAGCCTTTAACTCATTCCCTGATAATGCTACCACATCACCTCTTAATTTAAATTACATACTCTGACTCCTGTTGGGTACGATGTATCCTGTGTGAAAACTGGAGCCCACAGCAAAGAGCAAAAACAGAAAAGCTCAGCAGGTCTGGCAGCATCCATGAAGAAAATGTCAGAGTTAACGGTTCGTGTCTGGTGACCCTTCCTCAGAACTCACAGCAAAGAGTTCCACTGCAGAAATGCTGCGTGTCAGTCTGTATGTAGCTGTAATGGAAGGATATTGGAATTTTAACTAATATCTATGCACTAGTTAACTGAGACTAATCTGTTCTTGCAGCTACCCTATGCTGCAGGATTTGGTGAAAGCATGAAGTGTACACCTATTTATATGTAAGGAGTGAGGATGACCTCATGCATTGTGTAGGCGATCATAATTGCTGCAACATAACTATCACGGGGGTTCACACTCATCCCATTTCCATATTCTATTTATACCCTGGGCAAATCCTCCTGATCAATACTAACTCGACTCTCTTTTTGTTTTGTTCATATTTTAAACCCTGAAGGTAATTTCTATTACGGGGAGGCTGTGCTGTGACATCAGTTACTATACATTTTACAATGTGTGGATTCATGCATTCTTTTGCACTATATATGTACTGTACACTATGCCCTAATTCTTCTTAAGAATTGCCAGCAGCAATTAAATTGGCAACTGCCATATTTTCAGTATGTACTGGCCATTCAGATAGAATTGTGGAGAACAAGTCTAAAGACCATCTACCCTTTAAAGACTAGATACAGATTTGGTGCTGACACTATGCCATAAATATTGATCTGGATCTTGTGGCAAATAAATATGCTAATAACATGCATCATTATGAATGAAGGGAGTTAGACTTCTTTTAAAAAAAAATTAAAGGATATAGTATTAACTACCAGTTTCAAAAACGTGTTAGTTAATTTGTGCCACGCTGATGTTTATCTAGCCTTTAGCCTTTGTTATACAAACATACAAAAAAAATGAGCAGAAGTAGGTTACTCAGCCCCTTGACATACTCCAATATTCAGTCAGATTGTAGCTGACCTGTTTGTGTTTTGAGTTCCACATTTCAGTCTTTCCCCAATAACCTTTGATTCCGTTTTCTAATGGCTGTATTTACCTCTGTCTTAAAAAAAATATTCAGTGGTCCCACCTCCATCACCTTCTGAGGCAGCATGTTCCAAAGTGTCTCAGCCCACTCAGAAAATGATCTTCTCAACTCTGTCATAAAAAGTGATCTCTGCTCTTTAAGCTGTGCCCACTTATTCTGGACAGACCCACAAGAGGAAACAGGTTCTCCACATCCACCATATCAAGACCGTTCAGGATCTTGTTCACTTCAATCAAGTCACCATTTACTCTTCTAAACTCCAGTTGAAACAATTTGTTTTAAAATTTGGTCATGGGACATGGGAATTGCTGATTGGCCAACATTTATTGTTTTGGAGTAACTTTGAAGAACTGAGTGGATTAACATTAATTGCTCATTAAACTCTCCCCAAAGTTTGTTACAATAATGTATTGCCAATCAACTTTTAGCCCAGACTGGGAAGAGTTTAAACAATTTAAATGGTTTGGTTTTATTCCCTTTAAAATGAATAATCTAAACATGTTTTTAAGCTTTTTTT